GAGGAAAAGCCGAAGAAGAAGCAGAAGCAGCAGCCATACATCCAGGAAAAGGAATCAGACAAGAGACAGGAGTGCCATGACAAATCAACAATGGAGAATAATCTTTTCAGCAAATGGGTTGGAACAACAGAATGTCCACAGGTACCACATTTAAAAAGTAAGTCATAGTGGGTCATAGGCCTCAATGTAAGAACTGCACCTACAAAACTTTTAAAACAGGGCCAGGGATTTAGCTCAGCAGCATAAGCACTGCCTGACAAGCACAAGGTCACGAGTTCAATCCCCAGTACCAAAACAAAAAACAAACTTTTAAAATAGAAGTAAATCTTAGCCAGGCATGATGGCGCACATCTTTAATCCCAGCACTTGGAAGCTGAGGCAGAAGGATTACCATGAGTTCAAGGCTAGCTAGTGAGCTCAGCACCGTAGTCTGAACTACATAGGTGAGATCTGGGGCAGGGCAGGAGGTAGAGGAAGGAAGGAAAAAAGGAATAATCTTTGTAACCGAGTTAGGTAAAACCTCAGTGGTGTGTCACCAAAAGCAGAAACAACCAAAGGAAAAATAGGTAAACTGGACTTCCTCAAAAATAAAAACCTTTGTGCTGCAAACAGTGCCATCAAGAAAATGAAAGGACAACCCATCCATTTTTTATTCACATCTTTTTGTTTTGTGGTATTAGGGATCAAACCTTGGGCTTCACACATGCTGAGCAAGCCCTCTATCACGAGCTACATCCCCAGCTCTGTGTTTAAATTTTTAAGGACCTCACATCTTGTTTTCTATAGTGCCTGTTTGCTGCTTTAAATGAGTAAATTGTACATTCTGTGATTTATATCTCAAGCTATATTTTAAAAAGTTGATACAAGAACATAGACAAATTTAATTTTGGTTTGAAAAATAGTTCTGAGGCTGTACATGGTGGCATATGCACTTTTGGGAGACTGAGGAAGGGGGACTGCTGCAAGTTTGAGGCCAGCCTGGACTATATATAGTAAGTTCAGGACCAGTCTGAACTGCATAGTGAGACCATGTCTCAAAACATATATATTTCTGTGTCCTACGAAGTGTTAATACATTGAGAAAAAGACGAAAAGAAAATAGATTAAAATGTTTTAAGTAATTATATCTGGGTAGTAAGACCACAGGCTGTTTTCTACTATGAATATGCATTGTTTTTAGAATCAGGAAGGAAGCAAACAAATGTGGAAGAGTCCTCCTTTGTGTCCTTTCCTGGACCAAACTGCTACTTGTTTTGGTGGTTTTGTTTTTGAAACAGGGTCTTACTATGTAGTTCAGGCTGGTGTTGAACTCACTATGTAGCCCAGGCTGGCCTCGAATTTGTAGAGATCCCCCTGCCTCACCTCCCGAGGCGGGGATTACAGGCGTGCATTGCTCGCCCGGCATCATACTGCTACTTGTGACACCCTTAGGGCAGCAGTTAGTACTTAGGAGCAGAGGTGTTAAGTTCTCCTTTATAGTGAAGGAGCTGGACTAGACCCATAACCATTTGTAATAGGAAATATACTCCAAAACTGAGGAAATCTATACCACTTTGATTTTAGAAGTTAGTGTTGAATAAACCAAGTCCCAAGAGCTATGCAGACGGTGTTTTTTTTGTTTTTGTTTTTTTATGAGACAGGGTCTCACTTTACAGCGCAGGCTGGCCTCAATCTCACTATTTAGACTAGGCTGACCTCAAACTCGCAGGGATCCTCTTGCCTCAGCCTCCTGGGTGCTGGGGAGTTACAGCTGTGCACTACCACACCCAGCTATCTGGTCCTGATGGCCTTGCTTCAACTTTAGACCATTGAACATCCTAAAATTTTTAAAACCATCTTGGGAAGTTACCATTTCTAAATCTGTACAGACAGTTGACATGATAAAATGAGTATTCTCTTCACATCTCTCCCTACGGCCAAATAGTGTTATTAGGTAATACATGCACATTTTTTCCTCTAAGCTCTTAAAATTTTTATGACAGTCATTGGAAATAAGTTCTTCCTGGCAGCCTGTCGAATCCACATTCATTTATAAGCCGTCTTTGATGTATTGTCAGCGTTCTGCTTCTCTCAAGTTTTGCTTTGTTCCCCGCGCATCTGTGGAGAGAAGTCTACGTTAGAAACAGGAACTGTTGAAAAGAAAGAGCAACCTGCTTGTCAGTTATTTCAGAAATTTTGCCACATCGTATGCTGTTGGCTTGGACACAGTGTGAAATAGCCTTTGTTTCTTGCTGTTTTATGTGAAACCTGTTTCCTGTGAAAACGAGGATTGTAAAGAAAGGCCATTGAAGGGTAGGCCCTTCTCTTGAGAGGAGAAAAGGTAATTTCTTCTCTTACATAGTCTAAAAATCTAAGCAAGACTCAAAGAGCCCTACATGGGCAGTGACTGGCACTATCTAAACAGATGGAGGGCATCCAGCAAAAAAATTAAAAACAAAATAAATAAAAAGTCTGACTGAACAATCACTGATGCAAATTTCCACCTGGTAGTAGAAAATGTCTCAACGTCCAAAGACATGAAAAGCACAGAGAGAATGCTGTACAGCTATTGAAAATAGGAAGGACTTACATGTATTTGTTCATTTCAAACCATAATTTTGTTTCTGAGACTAACCAACAGTTTTAAGGGAAACCTGGAAGGCATACAAATTTGAAGGATTCTGGAAACATAACCATGTATAGTAGCATGTGGTTGAAAAATGTAAGTGAACTTCAGATCCCCCCCCCAAAGAAAGAACACAGAAAGGGAAAAACTGGTTGGACAGATAGATGGTGGACAGTCCACTTGGCCAGAATCCAGGCTGTGTATCTGGCTCACCTGAGTCAGGCTGTCAGAACTCCGGGCTTCAGAATATAGCCATGTAGCTATATGTTGTAGACCTGGGGTTTCCCCCTAGCAGACAGACCTATAGGTGTCAGACCCACAGGCACCAAGTGACCTGAGTGCTGCGCGCCCGGCCTGGGCACTGGGCTGTGATGTGCGGGCACGGTTTCCTGGAGTGCTGGTGGGAATGTGTGAGGAGTACAAAGCATGATGGAAATGAGAAAGAACAGGATACAGCGGTAACGCGTGCAGCAAGACAGATGTGTTTATGCAAACTACAGAGGGAGAGGAAAGGGTGAACAGTTCACAATTTCTGCATTTCTGGGTCTTTTGATCTTTACTTTCCAAAATTTATTTCCATGAGGCTATAGTCTAGTTAGAGACCTCAGCCCAGGAAAATGTCTGTCATAGCAGGGGGACACTTACCTCCCCTCTCTAACCCCTACACACTCCTCTCCTCCACCAGTTGAAGGAAGGTTCCTTTTTGTCGTGTACATGCATGAAGTGGCTGAGGAATGTGTTGGAGGGCCCATTTGTGGTCAGCGGACAGTGGCAGCAGTATGGCCACTGCCACGTTACTGAGTTCTGAGCCCATTACCCACATGGGTGCTGCTGCTTCCATCTTTATGACCATCCCTGACCTCTCCAGGCCCAAGTTCATAGTCTATATAACTGGCCTGGCCAGAGGAGCTACACAGGACATAGCAGATGTGTCGGTTAGATCGTATGGAGTGAGGTGAGAATGAGGATGTTTCCCTGGGTGTGGTGGATCGGCAGCTGGTGGTCACTTGTAACACCCAGCTGAATGGGTCAGCGTGTTGCTGAGTGCGAATGGCCCCCTGAGGGTTGTTGCCAACAACATTAAAAGGAGAACTGGAAGGGAAGGTGTGGTGCTGTTGGTTCTCATGTTGCTGCGGGTTCTCCTGGAGGAGCTTATTGATAGGAACTTAGTTGTTCTCATTGTCGGAGGAGTTCAAGACCTTATTGTCACTGAGAAAGGCTGCAGTTCACTTTGGGGGAGCTCTGGTCCTTATTTTGAGCATTACTTCCCGGCTCCAGAGGGTAAGGTGGCGTACTGTTCCATCTCTTGGAGAAACTTTTCACATTGGCTTCCTGATAGGAGCTTGACTGTTCTCGTCATTGCAAGAGCATCATTGTCGCTGAGGATAGCTGTGGTACTTTTCATGGGAGCTCTGGTCCTTTGAGTGTCGCTTCCTGGCTGCAGTGCAGAACCGTCAGCCTACTGGCCCAGATCCTTTATGCCCCTGGCATAGACTTTCTAGATTCCACCACTGACCTTTGGGCCTTTACAGTGCAGATGCACAAAACAGATTTGAATGAGATTTCGTCGTGAGCTCTGAATCTCCAGTTGGACTTGTGGGGAGCATTGTCACGGGCTTTAGGTCTTCAGCTGGACTCATGCAGGACATTGCTGTGAGTCCCAGACCCTTGGCTGGATTTCCTTGGGTGTTCAGTGTGTAGACAGAGCTCCTGCACTTTTTTTGTGTTTGTCTCTGGGTGACTATTATAAAATAATACTATAAATTATGTATCCTGTATTAAATTGTTTCCCTCAGAAACCCTAACTACAATACTGGGCTGATGTTGGGGACAGCACCTGCCCATGGCTCTTAGCCCTGCCTCTTGGTCTGTGGAGAGAGGGCTTCTGAAACTCCTGATGCCACCAAAGCCAGTGTCTCTGGGTATAGGGTACAAGCTTTGATGCTTTTAAGCACCTGGAGAGTATCTTGACCCTGTAAGGGTCAGGCTGAACTGAGCTGATGGGGAACCGACTCCGTCTTCAGGAGGACTGGCTTGATGACTGCACATCCAAGCCTCGGCTGAAAAACGACGAGCAGACATTTGATCAGACGTATTGTTGATAGCAGGTTAGTTTGCGGGGGCTGACCAGGTTAGCCAAGCTAATTGTATGAAATATTAGCTGGTTCACAGGAAGTTCGGTGGAAAAAATAGACAAAAGATTTCAGCTGTGGTGGCAGCTTTCATTTCTCCCTTTTTTTCTGCAGCAAAATATAGGACTTGTGATTTAAAGAGAAGAAGCACAGCTCACACGTTTCCGTTCCTCTAAGGAGGGCCCTGCAGACTTTGTGAAAATAAGCACCTGTCTTGTTCTCCCTTGCCTTCTAGCTAATTTTGGTCCCTATTCTTTTGCCAGTTGCCAGAGGCTCCACCCTCTGAGGAGGAAGAACAAGAAGCCTGGGTGAATGCCTTGCTTGGAAGAATATTTTGGGACTTCTTAGGAGAGAAGTACTGGTCTGATCTTGTATCGAAGAAAATCCAAATGAAACTTAGCAAAATAAAGGTATTGTTCTCTACTCAAAGGGTTTCTAATTCCTCACTTTATAATTTCTGGACATTTCGCGCCCTACCATCATAGTGAAAAATAACCTTGTTTAAGCATATAACATACAAGAGCAGTAAGTTCTCAAGCAATGCATCTGACCCGGGTCACAGACTGATCTTGCTCTTCAGACTAACTGCATCTGGGGACTTAGAAAACTGTCATTTCATTTTGTGTGTGTGTGTGGGTGTGCCCCTGTGTTACCACATCATCCACTCCAGGTGATAATCCAAAAGTTGAGAAAATGTGAGCTCCTATAACTGATTTGTCCTGTAAAGTTTTAGTATGTTTGAGTTAGAAAAAAACTGAAATTGTGCAAAACATACTGAGTCTCCCAGTGGTCCAGGCCATGTGGTGCACTCAGAGGAAATCCTGGACTGCTTAAGACCACTTTCCAAGCCATACACCTTGCCACAGTTGCCACTGGCTCTGAATGTATCTGGGATGGACCTTTACTTCCTGGCCAAATGGTAGTGTATTGTAGCTGTCTTTGCTGAAGAAACACTCTTGCACTAAGACAGGCTGTCTTGGAAGTGAATTTAAACTGTGTTAAGTACTCCTCATGACTGTCTGGAAAGGATGCATATACCAAACATCAGAGTTATAAAGGTTTCTTACAAATAAGTTCAGCACAGTATAGAGCCAAGGAAGAATCACCTTGCTCCTTAAGTCTTCACTAAGAGCTTACACAGTCAGTAATTTAGCTAACTAGCTCTAAATAGTTTTTTTGTTTTTGTTTTTGTTTTTGTTTTGGATAGTAGATACCTTTAAGAAACAAAATCCTATAGATTCTTTCTCTAGAAGATAACCCAGCATGGTAGTGCAAGCCTGTAATCCCCAGCACTCCGGAAGCCGATGCAGGAAAATCATCACAAGTTTAGGACCAGGCTGCACTACATAAACCCTGTCTCAAAAAAAGAAAGAAAAATGTACATTGACAGGTTTTGCCCATGATTTCATTAAGTTCATGGACCCCAGGCTAAGAAATTGTAAGCCAACATAAAATTAGATTAGAAAGAGAATGTAGGCATGGTGGAGCTTCAGTTTATTTTGGCCATTCCCCTGGGTAAAGGTCAGTCTTCTCTGACTTAGTGGAATTCTGGTAAAGTCAGTCTGGTACCTCTGGGCCAAGTTTTCCCTTCTCCAGCCCCTGATGAAAAGGAAGGGCTGCCCTCTAAGTCAGAAGAGTGGGTGTCCAGGCAGAATTCGGGTAGGGTTTTAGAAGGAGTTTTTGATGAGTGTCAGCCAGCATGTGTTCTTGAGTAAGTTGAGGGCTGACTGAACCCACTTCTGCTAGCCAGTTCCCTAGGGGAACAGCAAGCTTCGGTAACCTTCCGTGTTGGAAGATGGAAGATGAGCTGTCAGCAGCCAACCCCGTGGCCCAGCTTCTCCACCATCTGGACACAGTGGAGCTGGAGTCCCAGATCGAGGCAGACAGTCGGGGCTGTTTCCCAGAGACGGTCAGTCCATGCCTGGGCAGGAGGGCTACACCTGGCAGTGCGAAAAACAAAGCAAGGTGTGCTTGAGCTACACATGGACACCACTGTTGTCACACATATTCTAGGGCATGGCACAGCGTGGTCCAGCCTTGTCTCCTGCAGGGGCCTGTGGTACCTCTTCATGTAGTGGAGTGTAGTGGCTGTGCCACTTTAGGGGAAGTTGAGGGCGACACTGCAAAGGTCTTCCTGAGTTAGGTGTTAAATCCATGCCAGGCTACGTGCAACCTTATTTTATTGAAATAGTCAGTTATATTTATTTTAAACACCTTAATTTTATTCTAAACTTTACAAAATTATTCTAATATCCAAGTGAAAGGTTATAACTAAGAAAACTGTAAGATAAAAAGATGGGCCAGATTTTAAAATATATTACTGTAGCTGTAGTAACGAGAGCAGTTTGCTCTTAGCTGGAAACAGCTCAGTACAATCTGTGGTGTCGTAGGAATTTAAAGGCGACACCATAACACTAGGGAAAGTATAGATTGCTCAATATATAAGTTAATATTGCTTATTAGTCATTTGGGTAAAAATAAAATTGGATCCCTAGCTTATATGTTACACTAAAATAATGAATAATATAAAGATTAAAAATACATACAGAAACCTGGGCATGGTGGCACACACCTGTAATCCCAGCATTTAGATGGCTGAGGCAGGAGGATCAACATGATGAGTTCAAGGTCAGCCTGAACTGCATAGTGAGACCCTGTCTCAAAACACACACGTGTACACACATACACACACAAATCGAAGTGGAGGAAATATACATGAATAATTTTGAGATGAAGTAGGAATTTCTGAGCATGCTATCAGTACTTTTGTGTTGTTTCCTGTATAGCAAACTCCTGCTGATAGATTAGGGAGTGCATTAGTTGCGGCCCAGCGGGAACCAGATGGCATACTCAGATGGGAGTCAGAGGGGATTCGGAGAGCCCAGAAGGGTGACTTTAGCGCTCGTGGGCCAGCACAAGTGGCTCTCCTGAAGGGGCAAAGGCAGGAAGCAGTTACCAAAACTCAGGCAAGAGAACTGTGTGGAAAGGGCAGCCTATCTCATAGGCTATGACATTCAGTGGAAGGAGGGGACAAATGCCTGACAACACACTTCTCCCCGTACCTCCCCGTCCCCTGCCCACTGGTGAATACCATTAGCTAGGTCCAACCGGAACTACAGGGCAAGAGGGACCAAGGATGCAGTTCACCCAGACCACAGAGGCACAGAGGGTAGATACAGGGAAGCAGAAAATTTCAAAGCATAGCATGGGGCAAAGGGATGTGACTTTATATTTCAAGAATTTTAATGGATGGTAATACCTAATAGTTACAGGAAGATTACCTACCAGAAACATTGTAACAATTTCTTACTTCCTGCTAGCAATCTGAGAAAGATCCATTTCCCATATTTAGGTTTTATTGGCCTTCCTGACCTCCTTAAGCCAAGATAGCCACTGTGGTCTAAGCCCCACCCTGTCCCATTAACTGTTTTATGAGACTTTTTTTGTTCTCTGCTTTCCTTGCCTGTTTCTGCCTCTCCAGTATAAATCCCCAAAGGTCAGGAAACTGGCTTCCTCGTGCAAGACTCTGTGGTGTGATGCCCAGACATGGTTTATGTAGTTACTTTTGGTTAAATAAATGGCAAAACCTGTGACCACTATTCATGTATGGTCTCCAAACCTGTGACCACCATTCCTTCAGAGTCTGTTAAATTCTTTTTTTTTTTTTTTTTTGGTACTGGAGATTGAACTTGTGACCTTGTGCTTGCCAGGCAGGCACTTATGCCATTGAGCTAAATCCCCGGCCTCAAGTCTGTTAAATTCTAACCACAGCATTTTTATCAGGTTACTAATGTGTCTCATTCACTGTTTACTTCTTTTCTCTAGCTCCCCTACTTTATGAATGAGTTAACTCTGACAGAGCTTGACATGGGAGTGGCTGTGCCAAAAATCCTTCAGGCCTTCAAGCCTTATGTTGATCACCAAGGTAATTAATTCTTAACTGACTGGAGTAGGATTTAATGAACCATTTAGGTGACTGCTCAGATATTTCTATTGTCCATTGCTGTGAATTCGTAACAAAGTTTTGTGTTTAGAGAGAATTGGGAAATTTTTAGCCATCTTATTTCTTGCGGAATGCCCTTTAAAATGTGTATATATATATATACACAGCTAAACTCTCTCCACATATATATATATACACACACACACACACACATTTTATATATATATATACATTTTATATATATGTATATGTGTAAATTTACTGCTCTGGGGATCAAATCCAGGGCCTTTGCACTGAGCTACATACCCAGAGCTTTTTTCCTAACTTTATATTTTGAGAGAGTTTTGTTTTGGTACCAGGATCAAACTCGGGACTTCGTACTTGCCAAGGCAGGTGCTTATGTTGCTGAGCTAAATCCCCTGCCCGAAAGAGTTGCTAAGTCACTAAATTGTCCGGGCTGAGCTCAAGCTGATACCATCCTCCTGGGACTATTGGCATGTGCCACTGTGCCTGACTCAGTGTCCTTTTTTTTTTCTTTGTTGTTTCTTTTTTGAGAGAGGGTCTCAGGCAAGCCCAGGTTGCCCTTTGGGACTCGTGGCGATCCTCTAGCCTCAGCCTCTTGAGTACTGAAATTACAGGTGTGCACCACCATGTGTGGCTACCTACTCTTGTAGGAAAAGAGAAAGTTAATTAGAATGTGGAGAGAGTTTAGCTAGAATTATCAGGATGATGCAGTGATTTATATGGCTGTTGTGTCATGTTGGATTAAAAGGACCTTGACTAGGAAAAATTCAGTATGTAGGAGTTTAGTAAAAAAATACAACAGGAGTGAGCTGGGCCTGGTAACAGCTATAATCCTTACCTACTTGGGAAGCTGAGTCAGGCATATCAAAAGCTCTAAGCCAGCCTGAACAGTTTAGATTCTGTCTCAAAATTTTTAAAAGTATATTTTTTTAAGGATTGAAAATGTAGTTCAGTGGTAGAGCATACTGAGTTCGATTCCCACTACTGAGGAAGAAGAAACAAAAATCAGGAGCGAGCCAGGTAAGCAAAAGTAGCCCGTAGCGTGCCAGGGAAATAAAGTCTCACCGCTTTCCTCACCGTGGCACCCTTCACCAGTGAGCCTCTGTCCACCTAGCCATGTTTGCATTATTCCTAAAGTGAGCCAGGAGCAAGGTAGGGGAAAATTAATCACAAGAGTTCAAGATTAATATTTGTTTTGAAGTAAATGTTTTGTAAATTTTGTAATGATGAATCTGAGTGCTCCTGGGTTTGGTCATGTCTGGTTCACTGAAAGTGCTAGAAAAGATTTAGATTGTTTGCAAATAGTTTAGCTCCTGTTCATTTTGACCCATTCACATTTTAAAAGTTGCATCATGAAAGTGTTCACTGCATAGCTGGGCTCTTTATCTTGTCTGGGTACAGGAGCTGCCCTCCTTCCTCTCACTCTGGTGGTCTCTGTTACCTTTGCTCTTTGCCTTTTCAGGAATGACTGATATCAGGCTGGTAAATGACCAGCTATCACGAGCCTCCTGAGAGTCTGGCTTTTAAAAAGTAAATAATGTGTGTACATGTTCTATTTTCTAATGTGCAAGCAGTCTGTTGTCTCATGACTGTCCTTTGTTGAATTAAAAGAAATTTCCAAGGAGAGGGGTTACAGGGACACAGCAGGCCTAAGCAGCTTCTAAGAAGTGTCCCTGTGGCTTTGAACTCTGCAGCTTCATGGAATAGCTTTGGCCCGGCTTTGAGAATAATTTAAGACCTAAGTGTCAAGCTTCTTTCTTGTTTCTCTACAGTAGGAGCTGTGTGAAATATTTCACTATGGAGATCAAAGGTTTGCTGCTTTTTAATCCATCTGAGGCATACTTAACTCCTTTCAGGGAAAATTTGAGAGATGCTTGCTTGTATAACAAGGATGCAAATATTACCAAAGAAAGGAATGAAGCCTATTGTGGTGGCACATGCCTGTAATTCCACCAGTCGGGAAGCTGAGGCAGGAGGGTCACCAAGAGTCAAGGCCAGTTTGACTACGTACATAGTGAGTTCAAGGCCAGCCTGAACTACATAGTGAAATTCTGTGTCCCCCCCAAAAAAAAAAGGAAGGAAATAAATCCTGTGGGATTAAGTCTGATCAAATTAGATTTTTTTCCAGCTCTACAAAGGATTCATGTATGGTGGCAAAACAAATTCACATAAGGAAATAGACATCATTTAATGATGGGGGTACTTTTTGAAAACTATCTGTAGTTGATTTCATTAGTTAGTATCACAGTGTGAACACCATAGAGTTTGGTTACACAAAGATGACATCACTAGGTGATATAATCTTTAATAACCCCAAGGAGAGGGGGTTATTATTTGGGACTTATTTGGGACTCTCACCTCCTTGCACTTTGGAAAAATGAAAAAACACGTCCTGACTTGTGCTTGCTTACTGAATGAATACTGAGGCCAAAGCTGGTAGAATTATCCCACCTGGGGAGACAACATGGAGTGCGTAGTTATGAGCACCAGCTCTAGAAGGAGACCACCCAGCTCGCTGCTCAGAGGCGTAGGGCAAATCCTAAGCCTCATTTCCTCATCTCTAAAATGGGGAGCCTCCTGGCATCCCCCTCCCAGCTCGTGAGATTACATGAGTGAATACATGAAAGGTGCTTCAGACAGCACCTCATGCGAGGCAAGCACTTTGTAAGTACTGGCTGTACTGTTACTGTTGTCACCTTCAGTGATGCTGTTGGAGAGTTGAGGATCTGGGTGGCTGTGGTGTTGAGTTGGCCATCTGATAGTGTGGAGCCAGTAGATCTTGCCAGATAAAGAGAAAAAAATGCCGCTCTCAGTTTTCATGGCCTTGCTGTGAAGAGAACAGTTCATAGTTCCTCTGACATGCTCACCAGTCCAAGTTCCTGGACACACACCAGCCTGGAGCTGGGATTAGGTACATGACTCTCACTCCCCTCCAATGGCAGGTAATGGGAAGATGGTCAGGGTCCGCCCGGAGAAGCCAACTGTGCCACCTGCCTCAGCTGTGGCCTTGCCTGCTCTCCACATGTCCTGCGAGCCACCCTCTACCACACACGCTCGCTACCCTTCCTACCTTGAACTGATCTCCCTGGCCCCTCTTACATGCCTTGGCCACCACCTGCAGGGCCTGCCCTCTAGGGACCAGCAGCCCATCCCTCCTAGCCAGGCTCTTTCCAATCGTTTTATTAAGTCTGATGTTGATCATTTATTCAGCAAATAATCATGTGAGGAAACTGAAATACCCCAAAAAGATAATGAGGAAAGCATAACCTATCATTCCTACCATAGCCAGGATTACTTTCTTTCTTTCTTTCTTTCTTTTGTACATTTTTTGTATATTCTCTCCCAATCTTTTTTCATACACATTAGAAAAAAAACACAGAACATATCACTTTTTTGCAGGGGAAAGGTGGGGGAGTACTGGGACTCAAACTCAGGACCTCATCTGAGTTGCCAGGCAGGCATTATACTACTGAGCTAAATCCCTGGCCCAGAGAATGTATAACCTTTTTAAAACCTTAAGAATGGCATGCATTGATGATTTGGACTGGATGTGTCAACCAAAGTCCCCTAACAGACCCTTCCATTTGTGCCCAGCTGCTGTACCTCAGTTTCCTCATCCATGAAGTGCCAGCAGTGGTACTGTCTGCCTTGCTTGGTTGTGGTGGGATTTAAACATCATGCAAGAAGTGCTCAGGGAACACAAGGGGCACATTGAGAGCTGCTGATGGCAGCTGTGCTACTGCAAAGCTGCATTGTAGTATAGCTTCCTGAAGAGGTTTGGTGGGCATCCGTTTCTGCCATCCAGGGTATTTGTGTACCCAGAGGTATGTCAGCAGGGCAGAATGAGCCCCAGATGTGGACTACAACCCTTGGATTGATTCATGCACTTCTCGGGGAGTGGGTAAAGACTTTTGCTACAAGTAGTTAAGTCTGTGAAGAGTCACTGGGTGTCCTCCTAAACAGTTCAGGACCCAAATAACAACTCAAGTGTTGTAGTCAGGGCTTTCAAGGACAATGAGCCAATATAAGACATATCATTATTTTATGATAATTATGATTATGACAAAAGATATGATTGTTTTATGATGATCACCCAAGGAGTTAAATACAAAGAAAGTGCAGGAAATCTATCCACACACTAAAGACCCAAGGAAATCCAGCCAAGGGTCTGGATACCACAGCAATGTCCTGCATGAGTCCAGCTAAAAACCTAGAGCCCATAACAATAGCTCATGAAAGTCCATTTCATAGATCTGCACTTGGATGGCCCAAAGGTCAGTGGTGGAAGCTAGAAAGTCTATACCAGTGGCGTGAAGGAGCTATGCCAGCAGGCCAAGTGTGGTGCACTGGAGCCAGGAAGCGATACTCAAAATAAGGACCACGGCTCTCCAGAAAGGTACCACAGCCACCCTCAGTGACAGAGGGGTCCCAAGTTCCTTCAATGATAATATATCAGGGAGGTCAGCGTGACAAACTTCTCTATGAGAACCAATAGCTCCAAACAACACTCACTTAGGAGCACCTACAACGCCACTCTTCCTCTCCAGGTCTCCTTTTTATGCTGGCAACAGTCCTCAAGTAGTTCATCCATGCTCAGCACCACGCTGATTCAGTTCAGCTGGTGTTTAAGTTGACCACCAGTTACCAGTCCACCAAGGTTTAATTAATTTCTTAGATTCTGTGGAAAGGGCACTAAGTCCCTCAGGAGAGAACCTTGACTGTCTCTGGAGATGCCCTTACTCATGCCATGGATACCCATGGTCTATACCTATTTTCTGAATATTGAGTTCCATATCTTTGGTCCATGCTAGGATCAAAGTTCCCACTATAGAAAACTGGAGCCACTATTAGTAGGTTACTAAAACTGGACCTCTCTCCTACACCTCAGAGCAAGCAGTTAGACAGCAGCTACGGCAGTCTGGTGGCATGGGCCTGGCAAGAGTGTCACAGACATGAAA